CCACCTTTACAGAACCAAATAAGTACAATCACCAAATTTACTGTTCCAATTATATGCGTAGGTGAATACTGAACTAAATGACGTAGAATAGTTCACGCGCTTGCCCCATGTAAAAGATAAGCAAGCCTGCTAAAGGCATAACTAAGAAAATAGAAGTATACCCACTATAACAACTTAAGTTTTTAGATGAGGTGGTCATGCAATTCAACAATTATTACTATTAATAAAATCAATTTAGGAAGTACGGAAAGACCTTGACAACATCTATGTCCGAGAAAATCCGAACTCCCCAATTTGAGTGCCTTATCAATCTATACTGTATAATGTATCAAAATCCAACATTATCAATCTTGCTATTTCATAAGTTTAAAATTCTGCATCTTTTAATTTGTCAAGAAAGAACTATTCAAGAAGTAGGAGAACATTTGGGGAGCACACCTATAAAAAGATGCCGTATCTCATACTCCTCTTGTGCCAACTCATGTAACACTTTTAACTGGGATTTAAAAACCTGTTTACTACATTAGTATTAAATAAAATATTTAGTAGTTACAAAACTTATGTTAAATAAAATCATTGAGAGACATTTTAAATCAATACTTTAAACCTTTTTGCTGCAGCATCTTTTAAAAAACAACAATAAAAGAATATATCATGCTAAAGTACTCTTGAGAAAAGTTCAAAATCTGATGCTTCAAAGGTGTAAATCTTTCTCTAGATTTGATGATCAGGATAAGTTCTAAATTTGAAGATTGATAAATCATCCACTTCTCAAATGACTTAAATACCGATTACGTTCATTATAGAGCTAATTCAAAAAAACAGACGAAGAAACAGCAAAGTAGTATTATGAATTTTATAGAAATTAACAATCAAGTTAATTTTTTCATTGACTAAGAAAAAAAATTCAAAGATATTTATTCAATGACTAAGATCACCTCCTATTATTTGTGTCTTTAATTTGAAATTTCCGTTACAAACTAGCCATCCTATAATAACAAGAAAATTTTGTTATTCCGAAACATCCATATGCACTTGTTTTTAGTTTTTATTTTCTTTTTGAGGCAGTATTGTTTACCTGATATATCCAATTCCGAACTCACTTTCTACACATTTTTGTATATGATGAACTAGCCGTATTACTCGATCTTCAATGGCTAGGTTTATAAGGGGAAAAAATCAATTTAGTGAACCTGTCAAGATGCGAACTAATTGTGGGACAATTTGACTCTAGGAAATACGCCAAATTGCTTATGAAAAGCCATCAAAATGCTAGATCATACTCATATCTTTGGGGGGGGGGGGGGGGGGGTGCATTAGTTCTAGGTTGCAATATCTTTTGCAAATTTTATGATACAAATAAAGTCACATACAAATTCCATGAGCTCACCAGAGACATCTTCCTGTCCACGGAGCCTCTGCAAGACCCGCTTTGCATCTAGCATTCGCCCTTTACTCACAAGCCATCTGGGGGACTCGGGCAAGTAAAATATTGTCAATATAAAATACAAAATGGAGGGGATAGAAAGCACACCAAGCATCAGTCTCCAAGTAGGAGAGCTCATCAACGACATGCCAAAAACCATGCAATATGAAAAGAACATGCCAACACAGCCAGTGAACTGAGGTAGAGTGTTCAATAAACCCCTTATCTCTGGTGGTGCTGTTTCAGATATATATATAGGGACAAGAGTAACTGCCAAACCAACTCCAAACCCATTCAAAAGTCTTGCCAAAAGTAGAACATAGATATTTGGAGACCAAAGCATCACAAGGCCACTAACAAAATAAAGAATCGAAGAAGTTATGAGCAAGGGACGACGGCCAAGCCAGTCAGCTATTGCACCAGAGCAAGTTGTAATCAAAACAGCACCAACAAGTGACATGGCAACAATAAGTCCTTCCATGGTAGGTTGTGTTTCTAGATTAAATTCCTTTTTAATGTATAGAATGGACCCTGTATTTTGAAACAAAAATTAGTAGAGAATTATAACCAATTCAAAGATATCAATAAGTAACATATCAGGGAAGAAAAAAAAAGAATGGATAATCTTGTTGAAATTTGAAAAAAATTATGAGAGACACCGGCTGCACAAGGTACCGGATGGCATAGAAAAACAACAATAATTTTAAGAGGAAATATGGACTAACATCATGATTACTAGCAGTGTTAAGTAGAATTTCACAAGTAAAAAATAAGTATTGAAGAGCTAGGCCATATGGGAAAAGATTACCAGCTATAGTGGCATTGTCCCATCCTTGCAAAAAGCTGCCAATTGCAGCAGCAACCGCTACAAGCACAGCTCCACTCATTTCCTTTAAATACCAAACAAAACAAAACAACACTGCTGGTTATTCTTATTGATGATTATAGATACCTTTCAATAGAAAGAGTAAAAGATTTCACCAACTTTGTTATAGTTAGAACTTAGAGCGATTCAGCAACTTTTTAAAACTGGAATATGTAGAATTAAAAAGAGGGGGCGTAAGCATCAATGAAAAACACAGACCAAGCATGAAGCTTTTACCTGAAAAACGTTTAAATGAGTCGAGAGGAGGAAAAGGGGATTCAAGAAAGCGGAATCACTCGACAAGTTTGAGAGAAGAATCAGAAACCATAGGAAGCTGTCGATCGTCGGATTTAAAATCAAGCTAGCTGCACCTGAATTTCAGAAAACAAAACAGGGTTTTGGTTTTGGGAATTAGGAAAGGAATGAAAAAGTAAAGCAAGTGAAGTAGAAAAAATTATACTGTACTAATTTAATTCAGAGCCCTTTTTTAGTGCGACACTTGCCAACACGCTGTCCTGATGATTTTGAAAGGGCAAATTAAAGTAGGTATTATCGAGTAGTAGTAGTGAAAAAAAATACAAAAATAGATTAGGAGGGTTTAACCATTGATTAATTGATTGATGTCCCTTCTGCATCTAATCTGTCTTCGGTGAATCTCCAGCTACTTCTGCATCATCCTATATATACTAAAAGAATAAGAAAAAGTAACTACTTTAACTAATACGTAACATAATAGTAATAAGAATCCAACATAAGTGATTACAACGCTCGGAACTGTGTTCGCTGGCGAGTGAAATGACGACGGACATATTTTTCTTGTTTTTTGGGGGGAAATTAAGCATATCGACCTTCTGGGTTTCAAAATCACACTGCATTTATTATCCCTGGCCCATCTACCATTTTCCCACCAAAAAACCATCTACACATTTCGAATTTCAACATTCAAATAAATCTATCTTTAATCGTAAATTTTTCATATATTTTTTAAAGGGAAAAAGCTTAAATATGCCATTGAACTTTCAGAAAAGACTCATTTATGTCATCCGTTAAAAGTTTGGCTTATTTATGTCATTACCGTTTAAGAAAAGGCTCATCATTATTTTTTAACAATGGTTTTGCAAAACCATTTTTTACACGTGACCAATTATAATTCGGCCACGTCATTAATTATTTTTTTATAAAAAAAATTGAAATTCTGAACAAAAATTGAATTATAATTCGGCCACGTCATTAATTTTTTTTATAAAAAAATTGAAATTCTGAACAAAAATTGAATTAAAAAAATAATAATGGTGTGGCCGAATTATAATTCAATTTTTATTCAGAATTTTGAAAAAAATTTATAAAAAAAATAATGACGTGGCCGAATTATAATTGGCCACGTGTAAAAATGGTTTTGCAAAACCACTGTTAAAAAATAATGGCATGAATGAGCCTTTTCTTAAACGGTAATAGCATAGATGAACCAAACTTTTAACGGATGGCATAAATAAGCCTTTTTCTGAAAGTTCGATGGCATATTTGAGCCTTTTCCCTTTTTAAAATATTTTGAATTATCAATTATTGTGACTTATAGTACTTTTTATGTAGTTTACAAATATATAAATTTCATTTTGAAAAATTTGAAGATTCCATGAGTAAATTCCCGGTCAAACTTAAATTATTTAACTCTCAAAAGTGAAATGTGTCACATAAATTGGGACAGTGAGAGTACATTTTTTCCCCGTACAAATGTAATAGGCAACAAATATAAATTTTCTCTCTTTAGTTTTCTTAGGATAAAAACAGTTAGGTTATTAAAAGAGTATATTAGTAGTGTTTGTATTAATTATACATAGTATTTGGTTTTGTGTATTAAAAAAAGGAAAAATTACAGAAATTTCACCTTTTAGTTTACTTATTACCATTATCCCTTATAAGTTTTACAAATTTCCAAAATTCCTCATTTTCGCGCATCAGATCAATGTATCAGCGCTTATATTATTGTATCTCGTGCATCAGATTAGTGTATCATGTATAAAATATACATCAGATTAGTGTATCATGTATAAAATGTAATGTATCTTACATAACGATTAATGTATCTCGTGCATCAGATTAATGTATCAGCGCTTACATTATTGTATCCGTTTGAGGGATTTCTATAATTATAAACTTCTAAGGAATAGATTGTAATTTTGCCTTAAAAGTATGTGATTCTGTAATTTGCCCTTAAAAATAACCTATATTGTGTAAAAATAATTATTTTAAAAAAAATACCCTTCACAATTAGAGTAAAGTGTCAAAAATACATCTAAATTATCTCTTTTTTTAAGTTAAAGTTATATTCTAAATTATTATTTTTTTGGAGATAGTGATACATTAATTTTTAACTTTTACCCAATATCAATAATTTATTTAATTTTTGTCTATATGAAATGTGATGTGATAATGTATTATGTATGTATGAAATTAAGAAAAGAAAAGTGGTAGTGAAATTAGGTGTCTATTTAGTTGAGGTGTGCGGTCACTCCGCCCATAAATGACCTTGGATTTGATGGCAATAGTCTCCCATCCCATGTATACATCGTAGAGCGGCTGGTTGACATGAGAAACGTGGACATTTTTGGAGCAACAGAAATTTCTTGGCCTCCAAACTTCCAAGTTTTATTTGAGCACCACCACCACTATATATATAGCGTGTTTCTGCTAATCAATTAGGTGCTGAAAATGGAAGGTGAAAGGCTGTTCGAGGTCGAGGAGTTCTCGGTTGGGTATTACGGTCTCTGTACAGCTGGAGGAATGCTCAGCGCTGGCATTACTCATCTCGCCATTACTCCTCTCGATGTCTTGAAGGTTAACATGCAGGTAATTACACATCCAATTTATTTTTCTCTGACTTAATTATTCAATTCACCGCATTCAAAAACCCCAAAGTCCTCTTTTCCTGTCTCCTTTCTACAACTACTTATCCCTTTAGCCTTGAATCATCTTCCTTAAGACATAATTAGTGCTTAACATTTGCTTTCCGTCTCGATGTCAATATATGGATTGTGCATGTATTGTTAGTTTAAATACTATATTTGTTTTGACAGTTACTTTAATTTTATTGTATTGTATTCTTAAATCCATCGTTACATAATGACGAGAAGTCCCAGAACAATTTGGTGTGATGTCTAATTTTGTGATAATAGTACGATACAACATGAAACCATATGTAACAACCATCCCAACAAAGTGTAAAGATACTTTGAACCTCACTTACAATAAATGGCTGTATGTTGACTTTGTTGTTTGATTGAGATCACCAAAGTGCTATGACAGTGACATAAGATTTAGATGCACGTGCGACTGTTTTCTAGTAATTGTATACTGTGGATCTTTCTTATCTATAGAGGTCGAATAGCAAACTACACATTTTCCAACACCACAATCTTCTTTAGTTTTGTGGATTGTTTTCAATAGGTTCATCTTCTGACACTCAATAGATCAAAACATAAAAGAAAACTTACTCCAATTAATACTGGTAAAGAGAAAGGAATAAAACTTATGAAGCTAGGATTAAAGAGAACTTGTTTCATGGATTGTCTAATTATGTACTTTGCAAACCTTCACTAATAAATTGCTCCTATATGTTAAGAAACAAACTCCAACTCTAAGATTCTTTCTGATGGCGTTCTTCTGGTATGTCTAATGTTTAGTTGTTTATTTTGTTTTCTTTGCCTGATCTGGTAATTGGAAACTCCAGGAGCTGGATACGTGCCTGTAGTTATTCTGTTCAAATGATCACATGTCTTGATTTCAAGCCATTGAACCTCGTGACTTCTTTACAACAGTCTTGCACTAGAACACACAACTTTCTTTCTTGTAACATATCTGTAAACTCCATGTGTCACTGTGCCTCATGACAAACAAACTAAAATTAAAGGGTGCCAAAAGAGGAAGTAACTTGCCTAATCTAGTATGTTTTGATAATACCTTTATTTGCTTTAGGTGGACCCTCTCAAATACCGAGGCATTTCATCAGGGCTTATAACACTATGGAGAGAGCAAGGCCATTCTGCTCTCTGGAGAGGTTGGTCAGGGAAACTATTCGGATATGGAGTTCAAGGAGGATTTAAATTTGGTCTTTATGAATACTTTAAAAGGTCCTATTCTGAATTGTTAGTTGATCAACGTAGGAGTGTTATATTCTTCCTCAGCGGTGCTTCAGCTCAAGTATTTGCTGATGTGGCCCTCTGTCCCTTTGAAGCTGTCAAAGTTCAGGTCCAAACTCAGCCTCATTTTGCCAGGGGATTAACTGATGGATTTCGCAAATTGTATGTGAATGAAGGCCTTTCAGGGTAATGTCCAAGAAGTATGCATTGTTTGTTTTATTGCTATCCACCTTGCACATTGATGCTGAAGTTTGTTTTTGCTTCATTGTAGCTTTTACAAGGGACTCTTTCCACTTTGGGGGCGTAATCTTCCATGTAAAATCTTTACTTAATTTAGTCTTTTCTATCATCCCTCCCACCACCCCTCATTTTCCTTCATGTTGTCATTCAGAAGTGTTGTGGGGCTTTCCTGGTAAAGTTTACTCATATCAGTGTCCTTGGGTAGGATAGAGTGGAGTAATAAGTGTGCATTTTGTGTATCCTGTAGATTTCTTGCCCTTAAACTTATCTATTATTTACCATTGAAAAGTGGCATTTGGCATCATGTGGCTGCTGCATAGGATCTTCTTGTTGCTTCAGTTCTTCATTTACTGTCTGGCTTTCTTTATCATCGGCTACTATACAAGTTTGCACGTAGTACAAAATATAGTGGCCTGGCCTTGCTCACAATTTCTAGAATGTGATTATTAATCAAATTTGGCTTTGAAGTCTTGCTGCATATAGATGCACTATACAATATGATAATCACATTACCAGTTGTGGTTTGCCAATGTCTGGGTTTCTGCTTTTAGAGATTGTAATTATGACTTTCTATGTGCTTCCCCTTCTGTTGGCAGTTTCCATGATCATGTTTTCGACATTTGAGCACTCAGTAGATCTGATGTACCGGAAGGTCATACAGAGAAGGAAGGAAGATTGCTCAAGAGCCGAGCAACTCGGTGTGACATGCTTATCAGGCTATGCTGCTGGATCTGTTGGTACTGTAATATCTAATCCCGCTGATAATATTGTCTCATTTCTTTACAACAGAAAGGCTGAGACAGTTAGACAGGTAAAACTTCTGTCAAATAGTACGTATGATATTCAAGTGTAGTTGAAAAAATCTAATTAGTTGGAAAAAATGACATGATGTTTTCAGGCTATTAAAGAGATTGGACTTGTTAATTTGTTTACGAGAAGTCTTCCTGTTCGAATCACAATTGTGGGCCCTGTTGTGACTCTGCAATGGTTTCTCTATGACACAATTAAAGTGTTAACTGGACTGTAAGTTTACTACTATTCTCTTTCTATAGTTCTCGTATAGTTCTTTCCAAATGCTCGTTTATTTTTGTGCCTTCACTTGTGAGCTTATTTGTCCATTGAACTTAGCTATTTGAATATTGTTGGTGTAATATACCACAAATATAAATTATAGTTGAAAATAAAATGACAAAATTGAATAAACAAATATTTAGGCTGAGACGTGGATATCTCGCTCTCTTTAAGGAGATTCAAGCCAATTGCGGCATAATCTACACCAATCCAGCAATATGTCTCTTGACTTGTCTCCTCCAGGATACAACAACCCAACAACGTCGTACAACTCAAGCAACTTCAGACTTCCTTCAACATATAAATACTCTCTTTTATACATAATTAATATAGTTAAAGACTTAGAATATTTTTTGTGTCTCAACCCTCTCTTTCACTACTATCCACTACAATATTTTTCACACTTAAACATTTTTCTTACTACACTTCACAAAGGAAGAAGCGTCACTATTTATAGGTGAAAAAATCTTCCATATTAATCAATATGTAGAGTGAGGGGTAGTAATGTGGGTAGATGAATGTGATAGATGTTACATAAGTTACAAGAAACTAATGGTCATATGAGTTACAAGAAACTAATGATCATAAGAGTTACAAGAACTAATGGTCATATAAGTTACAAGAATCAATAGTCATCTTCTACCACAATTTATACCCATTAACATATGCACTTAATATTTTATTTTAATAATAAAATGCATATACACCACCAAATACTACTGGCGGAACTGGGGAAGGATGTGTTTCCTTTATTATTGTCATTATTGCTCTTACAACCGGCTTTGTGCTTTTGGACTTGAAAAATTCATAAAGAAACTATGATAAGAAGATTGGTTTTAGCTCCAAATGTTAATGGTGAATATGCTCATCAAGATGCTTACAATTTTGCAAAACCTGAAATCAAGTGACTCGCTTAACTTTAGGTATAAGAGTTCCTTGATGTGACAATTAATAGTCTTGTGCAGATAAATTTCATGAATAAATAAAGGAAAGTAAGGACTCCAACGTAAAATTGTTGAGGTTCTATGTAGAATTGAAGTAGTGGATGCTTGCTGCTTATTAAAGATGTTTGATTCTGTGTTCTGCTAAAAAATTGTATTGCGTGTAACCTGCAGGCCAACAAGTGGGGGCTTACCCGACATGAGAAGGATCCTAACTTACTCAGACAATAAATAACGGCTCCCTCAGAAAGAGTCATGTGAAGTGTGGTGGCCTCAATCACCTTCCTTGGCTTGTTCAGTTGTCTCCTTGTCAGCAGTTATCTGATTTCCATCTGGTTGCGACTTGTAAATACGACTTAGAAGAGAAAATAGAAAAGGATGACTTTGCAATTGCCACGCACAGCTTCGGGTCTCAGATTTCATTTGTGACCCTGTTTGGATCATTGTTATTCATTGTTTCATAATGTATTGTATTATATTGTACTATATTGTATTGTAATGTATGATAGATATAATGTTTGGCTAGATGGTTTTGTTTGTTGTTATTTAATGACATTTTTTATTGTTTGGTTTGACCATATCGTACTATTGTAATTTATAAATTTATTAAAATGACCTTAATTATTCTAGGGTAGAGGTTTGATAAGGATTAAATAATATAGGATAAATGGTAAAATAGTATTATGAAATACTAAGAAAGATATAATTAGCAAAATAAATTAAGTAACAACGGGAACACGTCAAAACGGTTGTTCCATAAAATGGGGGTTTTCATTTTTACGTAATAACAAAATTTAACAATACAATATATATTTTAAGTAACCATCAAAACAAACATCGCGTATATATATAACAATGATCCAAGGGTAAAAGGGAAATTACACTCTACTCGTTTATTTGGATTCAGAAAAAGAAAAGAAAGATTTTAACTAGTTGGACGTGTCACTAAGGATAGTCCTCCTTATTACTCCAAGTAATAGCTGTTGTCTAAATGGGACACGGATAGTCGTTGGTGACCGCATGTAAATATCTTTTTGACTTGTGATAATCTATTTATTTTTGTCATATTTGGTAAGCGTGGCTGGCTACTGGCTACTGGACTGGGGCCAATTGCCAAAGCCAGTGGACCAATAATTTGTGTTACTAAGACAGCAAGAGTGGTTAGCAATGACTAATAACATAGAGTTAAATAGTCCCCAATTGCCCTTTTCATTCACTTTTTCCTGGTTAAATAAATTTTTTCGTATTTTATCCCCCAAATCATCATTCAATACATAATATTAAAAATGGAAAAGGGTTAAAACTAATTTTTAATTATTTGAAATAGGTCAAATATACCCTTCAATAATATTTTGGCTCAAAATTAGTCTTCCCGTCTTATTATTGGATCACTTTTACCCTTTCTTTTAACGGAATAAGATGTGACATCCAATGTGTAAATTATAATGCCACATAAACGTCCACCTAAGCACATCCACCCCACCCATTAAAAGACCCAAGAGACTGAACACCGACGTCAACCGTTTTTTTTCTCATCGGGATAAAGGAATCCCTTTGTCTCCGGCGAAGGAGACTAAACACTGCGTTATAACTAATCATCTCATCGGGATAACGGATCTTCCTTGTTGCCGGAGACGATAACTGAACAGTGGTGGTAAAAGACTAAAATTATTGATTCTTTCATCCGGATAACGGATGTCCATTGTCACCGGAGTTGAAGAAGGCACAAAGCTGTCAAAATCAAGTAAATAGTCGGTGTCATCTAACGACATTGACACAAATAACAATAATAACATAACAATCCACTGATTTCTATAAACCTCTGTACAATTAAACGCTGCCAACCGTTAGAACGAGTTGATGATTTTTACGCCCATTGTCTTGTTCGGAGCAATAATTTGAAAAATCATAGCACCCTTGGCATTTTCAACAAGATCCCTACAGCGGTACCATTGAGGAACAACATAGTGACGACAATTGTAATAGAAATTGTCAGGTTGCAAGAACAAAGCTATATCAGAAGACACAAAAATGGGGGAAAAAAAAGAAAAGAAGTCAAACTTAACAACTCCTGCCGTTTGATGGTTAACGCAGTAGCAGCTGTTGACACCCAATTTTGATCCTCCACAATTTAATTAATTTTCAAGCTTTTTCAATTTCAAATAATTTGAAATAATTGTTTTCGAAAAAAAAAAACTTTCAAAATCATTTTCAAGACATTTTGCAATTTTTCATATAGATTATATGTTTTTATATTTATAATATATATATTTATATATTTTTCATTTTTAATTGAATATTTGAGAAAATCAGTTTACCAAAAAATAGTGTTTTAGTTGAGTATGTTTTATTTCTCTAAATAAAATATAATAATAACTAATTCATGAGTTAATTGTATAGTCGATCTTTCATTTCAAAGTAATTATTTTATCTTGTTAAATTAAGAAGCTCGATTAACTAATTTTAATTTACATCAAACCGCATTCTTCGAATTCAATTTCTCGATAAAATACATTTATTTGGATCCAATTTTAAGCCCAATTTCTCAATAAACCAGCCCACACTCTTAATTATTTCTCTATTGTCCTAAATTTCTATTCCACGCGCTCCTTTTTCCTATTCTTTCTACTTTCCAGAACTCACGCTCTCTCCCTCACACGTTCCTCTACTCCTTCACAAGAAGAACGACGCGAACCCAACAATTCCAACGAGTCCTAGCCGTGGTTTATCCAATTTTTGGCGAGGAACATCAATTTCATATAGCTGTCCCGTTCGTCCTTTCTTATCCAGCGAGGAGTACGAATTCAAACGGTGACTCGTCCTTCTTATTTCTTGTCAATTCTTTTTCTCTCGATTTTACCCTCTCTAGTACCATTCGAGGTTTCCAAGCACTTTCTAAAAGAATTTCGAATTCACAGTAGTCCCACATCAAAAATCTTTCCAAATTTCGTTAGATTTTAGGTCCTATAAATAGGCCTTCTCTTCACGGTTCAAGGGGAGTTTTTTGGGAGGCGAGAAAAGGAACACCCAACTAAGTGTTTTAGGAGTTCTTATTTTTCGTCACTGAAATTTTGTTGATTTGCGGCTATTTTGAGTCGGAGTGGTGTTGGAATTCGTCACGTTCAAACTTGTTGTCTGGTTCGCTTCCCAAAACCAGGTGATCTTCCCTCCCTTTTTTTATTCAGTTATGTTATTTCTTCTTTAGTTTATTGGTAGTGATGGTTTTTTTTGGCAGAGGCTATAAATTTGTATTTGTCTTGCTGTGTTATAATAACATGCTTATGTTCATTTTTTTGTTCTGTTTCTTGTTTCTTTAATTCTCTCATCATGTTTAAATTTTGTTAGCTTCCCTGAGATAGTTTTTCTGTAGCTATTAATATGCATATGAGTTCAATAACTTTTTATTTTATCTTGGACTACTTCGTATAGGTCCTTCATGTTGATTTTGGATGATCTTTTAGTTTTAGTTTTGTTGTTCCATGGGTAGAGTAAGTTTCTTTTCATGTGCGTGCTTCTAGTTGTTGTTCCTGATTAAGTTGGAATAGCTATGTAAAATAGGGCCGCAACTATTCCGTAGTCAAATCTTCATGTCCATTTGATTTGTTGTCTGTTATCTCTCTATTTTAGCTGAGTTCTTGAACCTGGAGTGTATGCTCTTTAGTTTGTTTACTGTTTTATCTTCACATGCCCTTTTTAATGCATGCTGTACAACTGATGGTTTCCTTCCTTCTCGTTGCCCTCTTTAAATACATATGATTAAGAATATAAGTCGTTTACTCCTCTACATCAAAATGTTTGGTCTTAAAATGCTATGTTGAACTTGGTGGTTCTTAAATTGCTCATCAATTGTATTGTCTCTGTTTTGCCAAAACTGATTATTTTTATTATGTCTGTCTTGTCGGAAATTGAATATTGATAGAAATATGGATTGATTTTCTTTCAAGTTTTCTTCAGTTGTATTCCTTTAAAATTTTGGCTGTTGACAACCATTAATTTCTATTCCTTGAAGTTAATCATTGTTGCTAATATCTTATAGTTAAAGTTGAGTTGTGATTAATGGAAACAATTATGTGATCAAGCTAGTCCTATCTTTCTGTAGCTCCATATGTATTGTTTTGACTTCCTGAACTAAACTCCTAATATTGGATTGAATTATATCACTTGCTTGTCATTAAGTCATATTGGTTTTCGCTTAATTGTTTTGCTAATCTTTGTTTCCACCATTTTTCTGTGCATGAACCTTCTTGTTCGAGTCTAATGGAACTCCCTTCCTTGCATTCGTTTCTCTTTGAGTCAACCTCCTTTAAGGGGATTGAAAGGAAGCTAATATTATTGGATTAAACATCCAAGAAGACAGCACCAGCAGTAGCCTAAAGGGCTAAAAGAGTAGCATTTTCTTGGACTTGAAAGTTAGAAAATGGCACCAGCTGAAGCAGAGTTGCAACCGCCTCAAAAAGCTGAAAAACGAGGAGCAAAATTGGGTTAAAACCCATAATTAATGAGGCAAAGTTGCAGCAGCCTTAAAGTGCTGAATTTAGCATTTTCTTCGACTTAAAAGGTCGGAAAATAGCGCCAGCAGCAGCAGAACTAGGAGCAGATTAAGGGTCAGGAAGCCCAAATTTTATTCTCTCATTTATATTTAACTCTTTTTATATGGTGTGTTTGCTACGATCTTACTAACTCTTGTTTGTTTTGCCTTTGAACTAGATAAATCCTCACCAGAGTTATCAATGTTATTTCTTAAATCATATCTCTTGTTTCTTATCACATGTCAAATCGTTTTAAGTTAGACAACTTAAGTTTATTAGAATAACTTAAGAACCTTTCATGTTCTTTCATAGTTATTGAAAAGCTTTAGTCCATGTTTATGAGTTTGAATTAATTGTATAGTTCAAAAACTTGACTATGGATAAAATTTTAAGTTTGAATTATTCTTGAGATTTTGCAAGTTTCAAAAGATTTTTATCTAAGTTTTAAACAGGAATTTTTATAAGTAATTCTTTTTATTTTATAAAATTAGCCAAAACTTTTAAAATTCGTCGGTCAACCGCATGTGCAGATTCTCTAAGATGCTTAAACCCTTCCTTAGAGGATTATTTGAACCCTTACCCGATTTTGATTTTATTTAAAATATTTCCTTTCAAAAACTCCTTTTTTAAATGATTTTCTTAATTTTTCCTAAAAAATTAAGTGGCGACTCCTAAATTAATCATTTTTCCAAAAGGTTAATAAAATAAAGTTGCGAAAAGGTTTCGAAACCTTTAGTTTTCAAAATTGGATCGTAACAGCAACAACAGTGAATCGTCTTCGATGGTCCAAT